GGGAGGCTGAGGCAAGAGAATTGCTTGATCCCAAGAGTTTGAGGTTGTTGTGAGCCGTGATGCCACAGCACTCTACCAAGGGTGACAAAATGAGACTCTGTCTCAAAAAAACAAAAAACAAAAGAAGAAACACATACCACTCTATACTTCTAGACTGGATACCACCATGCCCCTAATGATTTACATAGCTCAAGGTACAGGAAATTGATCATACTAAACCAATTAGAGATCAGCTTTGTGTTTTTTTTAAATCAAGCTTTATTACTTATTTTTTTCACCATAGTCAATAATTCATAGAAAGGGTCACTTCAAGCCACCCAAGAGTACCAGTAAACACTCCTCCACCCAACAACATTTAGCACAGAGGAATAGATCCCTGGTAGCTTCTTTGCAGTAAAAAAAGAGAATGAATGTTTCCATTAAACAAATCTCAATCTTATCTCAATAGTCAAGCTCTGGATTTCTGCAGTGGCCACAGTCAGGCAAATTTACCATCATTCATTACTCAGAACATACAAAAGATTTTAAAGCAGTTCTCAATTCCTCTCTAACATCTTTATTTAAGCCCTATTAATTGCTCATGGATGCTCTCAGCTCATGTGTAATGTTGAAAGCCCCATCTCAGCCCATCTTAATTCAAACTGAAAAAGATGAAACTCTACCTGCCCCTATCCCAATCCACTCATCTTTTTATTTTTTTTTGATACAGTCTTACTTGTTATACTTAGTAGAATGCTGTCGGGTCATAGCTCACAGCAACCTCAAACTCTTGGGATCAAGCGATTCTCTTGTCTCACCCTCCCAAGTATCTGGGACTACAGACAGCTGCCACAACACCCAGCTATTTCTAGAGATGGGGTCTCACTCTTGCTCAGTCTGGTCTTGAACCTGTGAGCTAACTAAGGCAATCTACCCACCTCGGCCTCCCAGAGTGCTAGGATGACAGGTGTGAGCCACTTTTCCCGGCCCCTAGTCCATGCCAGCCATGAAGAGACCAAATTACAAATCAAGACGACGAAGACTGCTCCTTAGTTCAATGTCACCTGTGTTTCTAGTCCTACTTCCAGACACTAAGGTGTCCCTGATGCCATCTGGGGCTTAATCTATTTGTTCATGGCACATTTCCTCTGCATTTAGAACTTTCACAAGCTGTGAAAGGCAAAACATAACTCAGACTTGCATAAAGATTTGGGCTCAACTACTAAATGATACTCAGAGGGAACCTTATGAATTTGTACTTTTTCTGAGAATTCACCTGAATGGGGTGGGTGGATGGATGGTGAAAGTGGCAAGCTAGCTCTAGTTCACAGCGAAAAGGTTAAAATATTACCAACTTTCTGAAAGATACTAGAGACAAAAGAAATAAAAGGATGAGACTTGTCATTAAGCACCTTTTCTCATTACTTTCCCAAGAGTAAGAAAGGCCAATTCCATTTACTCTACCGTGTAGATCACTTTGGGAGGTATCTCAGTCACTAACACACCTCCAAGACTTTGTGTCTCATGAAAATCTCCCCTTAGTCACATGGTATAAATACGTAAAAATATCGGCAAATTTGTAAATGTGACATGACTTCTCCTATAGACAGCGATCTTCTGTTGCTTTATTATTGCCTCTTTGCAATATAACGGTGATAGTGAGGGATGAAGTGGCATCAGGAGCGCCAGAAGGACGAAGTCAGAAAACCCTTGGGGACAGGAATCTCCTTGCGTTGCAAACATTTCTGGTCAGGGAAAAATGAAAAAAAAAACAAAACAAAATGAGTTTCTGGTAACAGTGTTTTTGATACCTAATGCTTAAAAGAAATTTTGAGGGACAAGTTTAAGTCCTATGGAATGGTGGACAAAGAAGGAAAAGAGACCAATGGTTCTGTAAAAGATGTCTAATTCTGCATAAATGCAGCAGAGAATAAGTGAAGTGCAGTGATTTATGCCTGTCCCACCCTTGTCTCTCTAAAGCCAGGCCTCACCTTTCACCAGTGCTATTTTCCCAGTTAAGTTCCTGGGAGCTGAACCTCAGTAGGCTATCTTGGAGTTCTAAATTACTTGTCAAAATTAACCTCTGAATATTTCTTGGCACTTGGAAATAGGTTAAGAGTCCAACTAAAGAGCAGTTTGTTCTTATGAAAGAAAGTGACCTCAATAACTAGCATCCCAAACATGAGACGGAGAAAAAAACTTTGGCCAACATGCAAAAAATGTACTGGTGAGAGAAGATTCGTTAAATGAATTTTATTTATCTCTTAGGACTGCTTCCTCACAGGCAAAATGGAGAATGGCAAGTAGGAAGAAGACAAAATGGCAGGCCTCACTCCAAAGGTTAAAAGGGAGTTAGGAACAAAAAGCAGAGTTCAGAAAAACTAAGAGTTAGAGACAGCAATCAGCATCCAGAAGTCAAGACTTGTCAGACACCGGCACATGCCAGGCCAACAACAGTGTGGGATGTGCTAATCTAAGGACATCTTACCTCCAAGAACTGCTTGAGGCGTATGAAGGAACCCATCTGTCCTGCACTTGTGATGGCTTCAATTCTACATGGAGAGGAAAGACACATGAATCACACCTATGACACATACCTATCTTTTGAAGAGGAGTTAGGTACATTGTTGATCTGGAGTAAGGGGGAGCATCAAATGACTCATAGATGTCTTCTAAACTAAAGTGCTATTGCTCTTCCAAATGGTCCTAACCTTCTTATCAAAGAAGGGATCAAGGAGGGGAGAGCAATGTTCTTTCCAAGGTCTTTGTGATCAGGTGGGATGGGTTTTGCTAAGGCCTTCTCCTGACTTGACATGCCAATGAATTGAGAGGAAAGAGAAAGGTACTCGGACGTAAATGCCACACCAGAGTCAAGCAAAATGACTGTTAAATCATCTCCTCCAGTTGATTTAATGAGGACTTCACTTCTTTATATAATTTATAAATACATGTAATCACCACACCAGATTTTCTGGAGGAGTTTAGAAAAGAATAGGTGGGTGTCGCCTGTGGCTTAGTGGGTAGGGCACTGGCCCCATATACCAAGGGTGGTGGATTCAAACCCAGCCCCGGACAAACTGCAACAAAAACAATAACAAAAGAATAGGTAAAAAATTGACAGATATCTTAATCCAAGACCTCTCTAATTCATGTTTTTGTTTAGCCAGTGATATGTAAAAGAGACTGTCATTAGAGTTTAAAAGCATTTATTCAAATATCAAGGAGGAAAGGACAGGAATAGGAAGATATAATAATTAATACAAATGTTCTGAAATTTTTTTTTTTTTTAGAGACAAGAGTCTCACTTTGTTGCCCTTGGTAGAGTGCCATGGTGTCACAGCTCACAGCAACGTCCAGCTCTTGGGCTTAGATAATTCTCTTGCCTCAGCCTCCCAAGTAGCTAGGACTACAGGTGCCCGTGACAACGCTCGGCTATTTTTTTTGTTGCAGTTTGGCCAGGGCTGGGTTTGAACCCACCACCCTTGGTATATGGGGCCAGCGCACTACTCATTGAGCCACAGGCACCGCCCCTGAAATTTTTAAAAAATTTTTGTAGGGGGGCAGGCGTGGTAGCTCACGCCTGTAATCCTAGCACTCTGGGAAGCCAAGGTGGGTGGACTGCCTGAGCTCACAGGTTCGAGATTGTAGTCCCAGTTACTAGAGAAGCTGTGGCAAGAGAATCACTTGAGCCTAAGAGTTTGAAGTTGCAGTGAGCTATGACAACATGCACTACCAGGGCCAACAAAGTGAGACTCTGTCCTCCCCAGAAAAATTTTTTGTAGGGCCAGGTGTGTGCTCATGCCTATAATCCTAGCACTGTGGGAGGCTAAGGTAGGTTCAAGACCAGCCTGAGCAAAAGCAAGACTCCTCTAAAAATAGTCCAGTGTTGTGGCAGGCTCTTATCCTCCCAGTTATGCAGGAGGCTAAGGCAAAAGACTCACTGGAAGCCAAGAGTATTTTGGTTTTTTGTTTTTTTTTTTCCAGATGGAGCCTCAAGCTATCCCCCTGGGTGTAGAGTGCCATGGCATCACAGCTCACAGCAACCTCCAACTCCTGGGCTTAAGCGAGTCTCCTGCCTCAGCCTCCCAAGTAGCTGGGACTACAGGC